TCTTTCATCAGAGTCGCCGGATTCGATCGCTCCCTCTCAGGAATGAGGAAATCGCGAAAGAACGCTACGAGGGAGAGAGAGAGAGAGAGAGAGAGAGAGAGAGAGAGAGAGAGAGAGAGAGAGACGAAGGGGGGAATTTTTCTTTCTCACATCGACGAAAAATTCCCTACACACATACACATACACGCGCGCGCACTCGAAATCTTTTAATAGAGTCGAAAGAATGCAGGACATGGTGCTCGCCGTCAGCAGGCGCGTCGTCTCGGAGAGCCTCTTTCGACTTTTTATGCAGCGTTTTATCGCGCTGCGGGGCCGCCAATGGTACTCGGAATGGCGGGAGGTAGAGGTGCAGAGATGAGGAACGCGGCAGTTGCAACATCCACGGCCACGGAGAGGCTCCACGTGCAGCCGATGATGCAACGGCCCCGTGCATTTTGTAACGCGCGGAGCCCAGAAGGCCTTCCGTTCGTCGGCGCATCAGGCCGGATGGAACGTATCGGGGCTTTAAGAACGCCTCGCTCGCGGTTCCCAGAGATAGAGAACGGCGTTGGGCAACGCAGCCGAATCGCTGTCAGCCGGCCCGAAGTAGGGCTGCCGATTTTAAATCGATTTAATCGAAGAACGATTAATCGGAGCCTAAAAGATCGATTCTCTGGAACTGAATCGATTCAGGGGTCGATCTGTAAACTCTGAAAATCGCCAACACGAATTTTTCAGTTTCCACTGGTAATATAGTTTTTTTTTAAATTCTTTTTTGTTGTAATATTTGAAGTCACTTAATGGCTGCACGATGCACACATTACGTTGCCCCTTTAGGCCGATGTCCCATAGGCGAAAATTTTCAGCGGAACGGAACGCGCGAACCAATCACAGCCACTCCATATAATAGTATATACGTATTATATACATATGTATATGCATATAATAGTAAACGTGATTTCTTATTTAGTAACGTTTAAAAACCCTTGATTGATGTTTAATCAAACTAATTAAATTCTTAGCATAAAGATTTAAAGATCTTTTTCTATCTTGTTGTGGCCACACGCAACACAACCAAAAGAGTACCATCTGTTTAATCTCTTTAATTGTCATATTAAACTTTATATGAATTACACGAGGTCTACTTTAGAGTGTAGAAATTTTACAGATAGTATACTTTAATGAGTGGTTCACTTTACATGCATACCGATTCAAATCAATTTTCTGAAATCGATTCTTAACAAAGCGATTTTTTAAAGATCGATTTTTTTCTTTGCGATTCGAATCGATCTTTAGATCGATCTGTTTGAAAAAAAAATCGGCATCCCTAGCCCAAAGCCCGGAGGAGTCTTACGACACACGTGGCTCCTCTAGATTCGTCGCAAGTTCGTCGACTCGCAAATTCGTAAGAGCCGCGATGAGGCGGAACTATGATGGATGATCTCGACTTGATTTTCAGGAGATCGATCTTTCTCCTCTAGAAACGGATCGATTTTTAAATCGATCCCTTCCCTTTCGACTTTTGCACAAACTGGTTCTTTCAATAGAGAATCGATTTTCGATCCGTTGGTGTACCTACTCGTCAATAGGAATGGGCGATGTCCGAAAATACATCGACGTTTAAAATATCGTTTAGTGAAAAGAAATGAAATGACATCGATTATTTTCTAAAAGAAAAATTCGATTTACCGATTAATCGATTAAATTTGCAAAGTAAACATTTAAATTGCTTAGCACCAGATTAAACATCACTAGAGAAGCGTTCGGAAACATCGCTCGGATGCTCTCTTTGCTTGCATGTTGAATGCGTTCTTAAATTCGCAATGGATGCAGCCGACGTTATTCAATTCTTATTTTTCACTGAATGTTAAATGCAAGGATGGAATGACGCCCGCAGTATTCTCAGTATTACTAGAAATCCTCCTAAAGGATTTTGCACACTGGTCGCGACTGGCGACATGCTGCTACGAGCGATATCTAATGAGAGTTCTGTTTTAAGAAGAAAGTGCTTTCGTTTCTTCTTTAAAACAGAACTCTTAATGGATATTGCTTATTATTCGTCGCTAATCGCGTCAGCGTGCGAGGCCTTCAACTCGGCATCTCATTTGATGTATTTTCCATGTGATACGAGAACTAATTTGGAGAAGATAAGTGCTCTCATTGGGCCATTCGGCAACGTTCCGAAACTTATCGACAAAAACCGGACAACCCTATTGTTCATGACCGCACACAATAGATGTAGTAAACTTTAAACCTTAAGAAATTAACCGATCCCAACCTACTTTTACAAGAATAATTCACTATGGTTGGTCAATTTCTTAAGACTTAAAGCTTACTATACGTATTGCAAACTCGGACTTAACGTTCATAAATTTCGTTCACCATATCTGAAAGACGATATTACCAAAATCCTCTATTTAAAAAAAATAAAAGTCGGTCGCCGATGTTGAGAAAAAATGATCAAACATCGATTAAATGAGTAAAAATAAAATCATCGGAAAACATCGATCAATTGAAAACAAAGTATCGGTTCTTTCGATTCTTTCGATGAAAATCGCCCATCCCTACTCGTCAATGTTCTTTCGAGGAATTCAATCTGGCTGACAGAATCGATTTGTACAACAATTGAGTGGATTCCGTCGCGATGTGGCACCGCGTTACAATTTTATATGACGCGTTGACGCGATTTCGTGCAAAGAACGCGTCTGCCAGTCGTCTATGCGATTTCACGTCACTCGATTTCTTGTAGCTTCGTGTAATCCTAAATCGCGTGCGATTTCACGCGTTCGGAAAATTCGATCGCATATTGCGTTGCGACTGCGAAGGAAGTCGTAGTGCTTGCAATGTATCGCGCAAAATCACGTAAATCCCAACCGGGCCAAGCCAGGACGAGCCGTGGCTTAAAGAAGTCGTCTTCGACGTGTGATTCTTCAGACGTGCTCGCGAAAGAGCAATTCCACGTTCGCGCGGTGTATATTCTGGCGATGAATCAAAATACACGCAGCGCGCGCGCGAGCGCGAGGCGGTTCAACAAACCTGCAATGTCCGTGCACGCGCTCGCTCTACATCATCCTCGATTTCACGTGTCAATAGACCCAGCTGCGTCCTTATCTTCCTCACCCGCGAATATTTGCGATCTAATACCACCCGTTTCCACGCACAACGCCGCCGATCGAACGGCGAATCGCGTTCACACGAGGGACCATTCACTGCATTCAGCAGAGATGGCGAATGCTCACATCCGGTTGGTGTGGTCTTCCGGGTCTACCCAAGGTGTACCGAAGGTGTATTATCCACAGATTTAACAAAAATTACCGAGCGTCTACTGAGAACGCTCGTTTCTGGCGAACGCGAAAGCCATCGATGGTCCTTGACCGGCAGTGAAGGAATTTCAGGGTGGTAACGCGCAATTTTGCGATACATCGCGTCGCAAACGCTGACAATTTCTCCTTTCATGGATCGCAGTGCGATGTGCAACTGGATCTCTATGTGACTTGAACTTAAGATAAGAGCCTGACAATTCGGAAACAGGGAGACGCGACTTACGAAACTGTGCGTCGCAATGCGATTTCTCTTGAGAATCGCGGCGAACGTGACGTGTCGCGTTCACAAGTTCGCGCGGTAAACGCGATTCTAAATCTCGCGGCTCCGAAAACCGCGTTTGCGGTCGCGAGCGGTCAATCGTGCAATCTAAAATGCTACACATGACTCGAAGTCGAGTTATCCAGGCGAAACCGCGTCATTCTCAGAAAAGACGCGAATCTCTGCCTCTGCAGAGCAATGGTGGGCGATCTTTGATTTTCAGAAAATCGACCTTTCGTCTTCGAAATTCCAATTCTTTTCAAACCGATTTCTTTCTGTTTGCTCTTTCTACAAATCTTTCAGTAGAGAATCGATTTTCGACTCGTTCATATATACTTATCCGTCAATATTGTTTCGTTTAATAAAACATTCAATTCGAGTCAACGTTCAAAAGAATCAATTTGCACAAAAATCGAGCGAACAAAAATCAACCCTTAAAGACTGTCACGGGCGAAATGTCAATCCATGCGAATTTTATCTTGATCTTCTGAAGAAAAAAAACGTAACCACTGCCGACACGTAATTTTATGGATATTTATTTACACTATCAGTAATAACTATATTATCGTAAAACAGATCAATTATCCTGTGTACTTTGCTATAAACATAATAAAAAATGTTTGGTAGATAAACCAGGTGTAGGAGAGAGACTCACCTCCAATAGTCTTAATGTTGACATATATTATAGAACTCATCCTTCTGACTAACATTCAAGAGGTTTTAGTCGTCGCTCATTTTGTTTGTTAAAAAGTCATTAACAAAAGAGGTAATACACAAATAAAGCCTATTCTTTCGACACAGTGTACGTTAAAAAAATGTTAGACAATATATGTGAGCGAGGGAGGAGCAGAGCCCTCGCATCCCCTCTTTGAAAAGAACTTAACCTAATTCAAATTATTACATCTTTGCACACTGTTGGGCGTTGTTAAAAAGATCCTCTTAAAACCGACAACGCCTAACGCAACCATACGTAAGACGTAATAATTTGCGTTAGGTTAGGTTAAGTTTTTCTTTTGGGGGAAGAAATGCAAGGGGAGGGGCTTCGTTCCTCTCCCGTTCATGTGTACTGCTTAACATTTTTTCAATATACACCGTGTCGGAAAAAACGCTCTATTTAAAAAACTTCTTTAATAAACAATGAGCGACGGCTAAAACCTCTTAATGTTACTCAGGAGGATGAGTTCTGCAATATATGTCCGCATCAAGGCCACTGGAGGTAAGTCCCCTGAGTCATATTTACCAAAAGTTTGCTCGGGATGATATTTGATGACAGCCTTTAAGGATACAAAAATGAATCGCAGGGAAAGAGCGAGTTTCTGAAAGTCGAATCGAGATACCACGCTCGTCACCGTCAGAGTCGCCCCCGGACTTTCCGCCAGGTCGACCCCGCGGCGTGTTCCCGCGAAGAGCGCGCAAAAAGAGACAAGGACTCCACTCACCGTGAGGAGTGGAGACAGTGCCGCCCCTCGTCTTCCAGACGGCGGGAGTGGTGGGCGCGGGACTCAGGTCGGGAGTCGGTGGATGAGCTGGCGGCATCGTCACCACCGCCGGGCCCAGCTGCGGGCTTCCTTGTAACAGATGGTCCGAGTTCTGGCTGTACGAGCTGCCGTCGTACCCCCGGCCGGTGTAAGCCTCGCCGGACAGTCTCTCCGCCAGATTGTCCGCCCTCTCTTGATCGCTCATCGCCACCGGCTCCTGCTTTATCCGGAGATCTGCACGACACGGGACGAGCGCGTTTCCGTGAGACAGAGCGGGTCGACGAAGTCACCGACCGGGCCGGGCCCGGCCGGCTCGGCTTCTACGGCGAGGAGATCAACAACGGGGCTCACCTTCGGCAACGCTCTCTCGGTGATCACAGTTGTTGCGCTCCTCGGACCGCGCTCGCTCCAGCTTCTGCTCCAGTTCCGTGGGCGTGTGAGGCGCGGTGTGTGGGTGCGCGGGCGTCTCCGAGGAAAAAGGATACGACGTGTACAAGTGACTCTCCAGCAAGAGCGTGTCCGGGGCGGACTTGGGCCGGAAGTCGGCGCCGTCGCGCAACACGCTCGCTCGTCCCAGCATATCGACGTTGTTCGGCGATCTAAAAATACGCGGTCGCGCGACTCAGAGAAAAGTTTTCTCTCTCTCTCTCTCTCTCTCTCTCTCTCTCTCTCTCTCTCTCTCTCTCTCTCTCTCTCTCTCTCTCTCTCTCTCTCTCTCTCTCACTCCCGGGCGAGTGTAATCGCTGAGAAAACGTAACGCCTCCGCGAACATTTGGTAAACACCGCGTAGCGCCGAGCTGTGCGCGAGGCCGCGGGAGAGAGATCACACACCCGAGCGTAGATCTCGCACGAGATCGCCGTAGCACGAGCGCCCTTCGATCCCCCGTGGCCTTCGGCGCTAGAAACGCTCATTTCCACGTATACGTGTAGCGCGCATATCTGAAATCGCAATAAAATCTACCGGCAAGCCGAAACCGAGTCGAAACCGGACTCGCGCGACTCGCTTCGCAGAAAGCGGCCCGGCCGTTTCACCACGGCGTGTATAATTTATTATCGCTCCGTTCGCGTCCACGGATCGCGTCACATACGTCATCGCCATTAGAAGGGAACACGTGAAAAATAAGCTGGCGCTATCAGCTAAACCTCGCCGTTGAATCGTCGATTTGAACTTCGCTGGGAAGACTGCTCATTTGGCCGCCATCGCCGCGATGAGATCCCGGCTGTCGCGAATAATGAGCGCATTCACCGCGTACTAAACACCGCCGGAATGAAAAGACGCGCGGATAGCTAAGAGAGAAAGAGAGAGAGAGAGAGCGGCAGCCGTTTCGCGGAGCGGCTTATCGCGCACATGTATCTCATGATTACAATGACGCGATGGACGTCGAAATTTTTCTTCTCTTTCCGCCAGCGAGCCATGTTTATCGACGCGTAGCGCCAGAGTTTCGCTCTGGAATGCTAGCAGTTGATTTGAACGCGGACTGAACGCACGAAGACAACCCTCAGTGCAATATATCGACGTTGATATTGAAAACTAATGGTTGTAATGTTGTGACGTTCTGGCAAGATGCCGAAGAGATTGTAATTACGTTTGCTTTTGATACTATTATTTATCATTATGATATGATCTTAATTTCCAAATTTGCTCCTGATATTGCATCAACTCTCTTTTCATTATGTCTCAACGGAAAGACAAAGAATGAGATTAGGAGGAAGAGAGGGGGAGGATCTGATACAACTAGCACTCTAGAATTCAACGATATCCTATGGTTGTGATCCTTCTCCCCCCCCCTCCCATTCCGAGGAAGCATTTCCGCCATCATCACGGCTACATCGGCTAGCTCCTTCTAGGTTAGGTGCACGGAGAAAAAAGTGTTTGGTTAAATAAAGCAATGTTCAAGTGAAATATCAACGATTTAGAAATTCCGATTGAAAAGTATCAGAATTCCGTTCAAATGAATCAGAAAGCTCGACGGCTCAGGCATACCCTGAGATTTTGATAATTTAAAGCTCCGCTCAAGTTGAGCAGAAGCCTTGATAATTTCGGCTGAATTCTCATCATTTCGACCGGAAACCCTGTATCATCGTTCGCACTTGAGAAGCGGAACATCGTTTCATTCGGCCCAACATTTTTTCCCACGTGAGTGCCTCTCCCACGTGAGGATCATCCGCGCGGCCGTGCCACCTCGGCTTCCCGCAAACAACAGCAGCGAGTGCGCCTTTTACACGCCGCTGAGGGAGGCCTCACCTCTTCAGCCTTTTCAGCGGGCTCTCGTAGTAGTGAGGAGTGGAGTACAAGTTGGGCACGGTGTGCGCCGGGGCGGGCGACGGTGCCGGTGTCGGGGTCCTCTTCATGATGTTCCTGACCATCGTGGCTTCGCCCGCCTCGCTCAAGTCGCTCACTTCGCCGACGCCGCCGCCACCGCCTCCGCCTACGCTTCCGCCGTTGCCACCGCCGCTGCCACCCCCGTTGCCGATTCTGCCGATGGCACCGCCGATGCCACTGGCGACGTTACCCCCGACGCTACCACCGCCTCCGCCTCCGCCTCCACCACCGCCGCCGCCGCAACCGCCACCGCCACCGCCACCGCCACCGCCGCTGCCGCCGCCATCACCAACCCCGTTGCCACTGCCGCCTCCTACATCCGCGGAGGCATTGTTGTTTTCCACGGCGTGCGTCTGCGCTACCGCCAGCTTCTCCTGCTCGATCGACAGACCCTTAACCTAGGTTTGCAGGGAAAACAGCGTACGTGAATTATAGATGAAGCAGAGGAAGGCGCGCGCGCGCGACTTTTTGGGGAACTGATAAAAGCAAGGAGCCTATGTGTGGAACGATCGTCGCCGCGACTGTGAGGCAGAATTATGGCGAGTATGGTTTATGGACACGGAGAGAGATCGATCGTCGCGTTCACAGCGATTGCCGTTGCTCGCAGCAGCCTGGACGAGTGTTCGGTGGTGACCGCGATTTTGTTCCGATTTTGTCAAAGGCAAAAACGAGAGCTCGCCCGAGGCTCGCGGCTGACAACGCGCTCGTTTTCGTCGGAAAGCTTGACAAATGATTTGACTGCTCGCGCTCGCTCGCGCCGAAGCGGGCGGGCTCGGCCGGGCATGTTTTAGGGTCGTCGAAATATCCGGCTGCCGCGCGCGCCATGTGTACAATTATTCGGTGACATTATTTCAGATCATTATTTACGGGGAAAGACAGGCGCACATACTTGAAGGCATTCAGCTGCCTTGAAGAAGGAGGTAAGGGATTCCTGGGACACGTGTACCTCGCCACGGTACATGAATTCGAGTAGGGACTCCATATCGTGGGCGCTCGTCCCGTCGAGAATAACGATCAGTCCCGCGGGAGAAGGCGGCATTCCTTCGAACAGCTCCTGAAAGTGCTTGCTGCATGCTGCGAGGATTAATCTGTGTGCCTTGAACGTAACTCCTGGAACACACAAGTAGAGGACACGCTGTTTTAAACTGTTGCCGAAGTAGCAGGTGCGCCGCGGTCGTCGGGGAAAAATGATATCGCTACCGCGGGGAAATGTTCGGCGCGAGTTTCGCACTTTGCGGCGTCCGTTAACCGTTTCACTGCTGAATTAACTTCCCTTGAGAAAATTATTAAAATATTTGGCGGTCCTACGTTTCTTGGCTCGCTGATTACGAACCTAAAGTCAGATTCACAAAATTCAAAATGGCGGACTCAACATGGCGATCATGATGTACAAAATCAATATAAATTCCAATTATTATCGAATAATGACCAAGTTGTAATAAGTTGTAATAAGAACATATGATTCTAGACCCGATGGAAAAAATTTATGTGAGAAAATGTTCAATACTGCATACTTATGCTTACTAGAGATTAAACATTCATTTTTGAGTAAAATAATAGTTGATAGTATGGATAAGAGATGGAGACACAGAATGAAAGAACTATGGAAATAGAGTTAAAAAGTGCGAAAAAATTAAATTTCGGCCGTTTTTGTAGAAATATTTCGCGAGACCGGCGAAATCTGAATTTCCGATCCATTCGCACGTTCTCTTTCCTTTCTCACGGCTCGCAAGTGCGGAGCGGCCGTCGTCGACGCCGACGAGCGCAGGAATTTTAGCGTGCAAAGCGAGCCGGTGACCGTCGAACCCTTCTTCTTCTTCTTCGTCTTCGTCTCGGTCTTCTTCTTCTTCTTCTTCTGCTTCTCCTTTTTCCTCCTTTTTTCTTTCAACCGACCCACCGCTTCCCTGCCCCCGGCGGCGGCATAAAGGAACCGCGCGCGCGCGCGCGCGCGCTGCTGGCTCGCCTGACGTCGATGCCCTTTCTCGCAGCTCGTTGCGTATTTAGGTCATCTTCGGACACGATCTTCCGTAATTCATAATTCACGCGCGCGAGTATAGTGCGTGCGCGGGCGTGTAATACGACACGGCCGAGCGCCGGACGTAGGGCGCCATTCGGGAGAGACATTCGGGAACGGCTGCGTATGAAAGGACAAAAAGGAGAGGGAGCAAGAAAGAAGGCCGCGAGGGCACGACCGACCGTTGGGGTAGCGGCGTGCAATCGCACGGTTCTCACCTCTCTCTCTCTCTCTCTCTCTCTCTCTCTCTCTCTCTCTCTCTCTCTCTCTCTCTCTCTCTCTGTATCGGGAAAGAGATGACAAAGGTGGACGAGATAACGCGTCGTTAATATCCGAGGGACATGATTGACGGGATCGACCCACCCTTGCGCTTGAATCGCCATCGTCAAGAACAGTCGCTTGTGTCCTACGCACGCGAAGGACAAATCTGTCAGTCGTTGATTTGGAGCTGCAGTCGAGACCGACTGGTCTCGGGACTGCTCTCTCTCTCTCTCTCTCTCTCTCTCTCTCTCTCTCTCTCTCTCTCTCTCTCTCTCTCTCTCTCTCTCTCTCTCTCTCTCTCTGTCTCTGTCTCTGTCTCTGTCTCTGTCTCTGTCTCTCTCTCTCTCAAGGTTTATCAAATTGTAAAAAATTAAATAAATTCTCGAAAATAAAGAGAAAAAGAACAATCGCATAGATACTAGTGATGGTCGATCTCGATTCAATCTTTGGAAAATCGATTTCTTCCTTAAAAACGTTGACTTTTGTAAATCGATCCTTTTTCATTCGGTTTTTAGAAATTACGTTTATTTTTCAATAGAGAATCGAGTTTCTCTGACTCTGACTGAGAATCTGTTGACGCACTTATTCATCAGTGTTGTTTGCTTAATAAAGAATTCAACCGGGGTCTGAAAGAATCGGTTTGCACACAAATCGAACGGAGAAAAGAGTCGACCTAAAAATTCGACTTTTGGAGGGAAAGATTGATTTTCTGAAAATCGAATTGAAATCGGCCATCACTAGTAGATACACAGAGACCGACATGACAGCCTTAGTTCAGGTTATTATTAGGTAATTAACAGAGTCCATGCGGTTTTGTATGTTAAAACCTAAAGAAAGGTAGAAATTTTCAGAAAAATGTTATAACTGCTATATAAATTACGAATAATTCCTAACTCTTCGTTACGGAATAACGAAAGGTCTTCCCGAATGTCCTGATCCCGAATGTCAAGTGATTCATCGTCGGAAGAAAATTTTTTAAACTGCACTTCTGTGCAGTCGGTTCTTCTAGAACTCATCTTCCTCAAATACTACGCATCTCTCACGACGTGACGCTTCTGCAGCTTTCGACCCGAGTTTAAATTCATAAAGCAAACATGCTCGAATTACGTTCAATCCGACAGACATTTTCAAACGGTAAATAATCACAAACTGAGAGACCGTGCCGCGACAAAGTTTCATCGATTAACTCACGCAAATCCGTGAACTACGCGATGCGCGTAAACGCGCATAAACGCGTCCGACAGGTCTCGACGAGAAACAAAAACCGTACGAATGATTCGGCTCGTCTAACAGTATTTCCGGACATTCCGCCAATTAACACGCTGAGCGAGTGCTGTGACGAACGTGCTGCTCCGAGACACGATCCTTCGCTCTACGTTGAACGGCCGACAAATAATAAATCGACATTGCAGAAAAGCCGAGTGACCTGGTTGCACCAAGTGTTGCCCACGTGTACGTTTCCACGCGGACGCCTCTTCACCTAGCCGGATCTTAGAGACGCGAGCGTGCGGCGGAGGCTCGTCGGCGCGAGATACCCTCCGAACAAGGAAATCAAGTGCGAGAAAAGAAAGGTGACGGAGGCACGACCAGGTGGTTGAAAGCACCTGTCTTCCCGAATGACTCCCGGGACAAAGTGTAACCAAAACTCTTTGAGCTCTCACTCTACGCCTTTCGTCGCAGGATCGAATTTCCGTGCGCTCCCCGTCGCGATCGCTCGAATCTCCCGCGTCCGACGAATATTCTATTAAGCGCGTGTCGCCGAGCGTGTATTTCTCGACTCACGACTCGCTCGCTAGCTCGCTCGCCGCAGTATGCCGTATTCCGTAAATTGCCTCGCTGATAATAATACATCTCTCCAATAGGGGGGGGGGAGGAGTTATTTTGACCCTTTAACGCCTATTGGTAACTATAGTTACCAGAAACGCATTTAAGAATCCACAACTTGGTCAAAAGAGGAGATATTTTTGTTTTCTTTGCACCACTGTAAAGGTGAATTCTTCTTCTAAAAAATGGTATATAGATTATATGTAGGTTCGGTTCAGTTCAGTTTTAGCTCAGTTTTAATGATAACATGTTTTGTCAAATTCCAAGTAGGCATAGTTAGGCATTGTTATTGACATCTAGAAGTGCACTGTAAATGAATAGATTGGTATCTGTTATAATTTTATACATTTGGAAGCTTTCTCAGATGCAAAATGTGAAATTAAAAGAATACAGAAATCCAAAATGGCGAATCCAATATGGTGGACACGAAAATCAAGAAATCAAGCTATTTTCGTGAAACCTGGTGACCAGGTTTTTTATGCGGCGAAAAATGAAGGGACGATTGATCGTATCTAAATGGTGATCTATAAGATATTCTTCTGAAATAGTAAGCTTGACGCTCTGAATGATAAACTTCACTCACAAATATAGTAAAATTTCAGCTCAGAAATGTCAAGCTGACTATCAGAGTTATGTCATATAGATTACCCTTCATTTTTCTCTGTATAGGTTGCTCATTTGGTATATATATGCTTTTAGGATCCAAGTCATATTTACCAATAAACAAAAAACGAACGATAAAAAAAACCAATATAAAATTCTGATATTTTTTTTTGGTTATCGCTACTTATAGTCTCAGTTCAGAAAAACTCAAATTTTATTCTTAAAAAACTTATAAAAAAGTCGGGCGTTAAAGGGTTAAGCATGAAGTTTCGACCAGAGGCAATTTTCCGTGCTCCCATGGCCCGATTATCGGGTGTCCACTTCCCGCAACAACGGATCGATAATTCCGGGGCTCGCAACTCGCCTGTTATACAGCTTCGTGCGTATCGTCGTCACCGTCGTCGTCGTCGTCGTCGTCGTCGTCGTCGTCGTCGTCGTCGTCGCCGCCGCCGCCGCCGTCGCAGGTACTCGGGAGCCAAATATAAGCCCCGAATGTGCTATGCAAGGGCCAACGGCCGAGTCGCGCGTGAGCGTGTGGGTGTTTCGCGAGTGATGCCGGCGGGTTGCGCCATCGCTTATGCCGGTATCGCATAAGCGGAATTTGAACACACATATGCACGCCGGTATCGCGACGCTCACTCCGGCGCGGCGTAAACAAGAGAATTAATCGATCGGCGAGAAATGACGCGCATCTCGCTGGCTGAAAAACATCGGCTGTTGAGACCTGAGTGAAAAGCAGTCCAATAGTCTCTCTCTCTCTCTCTCTCTCTCTCTCTCGTTTCTTTTTCTTAATGATATCGTACAGAAGCAATTACAAAAAAAAAGAAAAAGCCACCGGAGAGAGGCAAGAGCGGCCAGTGAGACATCCCGGCGTGGTGTACACCTGGGAACTGCGCTCGAAAACGCGTGAAACGCAAGACGGCACGCAGTTTCTTCTCCCCGGCACACTTGTGGAAATAATGAGGTATGCAAAGCTCATCCCGCGCGGGCAGGAAGGAGAGGGGGATGCCGGGGTTATTAATAAATTTCGTAATGCGCCGTGCGCGCGGTCGGAACTCTTTCTCTCTCTCTCTCTCTCCCTCTCTCTCCCCCCCTCTCTCTCTCTCTCTCTCTCTCTCTCTTTCTGCTGTATATGCGCGAGAGCGCTCGGCGTTGTTCCGTTATCAGGGCGCATGCAAAATATACTGGCGAGATGTTGCAAGGAATTTCAGCGGCGTTGCGTAACGCAACGCGCGTGCACGCGCGGAGAGGGAGGGAGGGAGGGAGGGAGGGAGACGGGGCGGCGAGAACGTGTTTATAACATGCCGCAATCGCCGTCATCGACTCATCGGGCGAGCTGTTGCCGTGAATGAGTGAGTAGAGAGATAAGGCGCGCCGAGAGAGCGCTTTCGTTCGCTCGCTCGCGCTC